TACATTTTCCCTTCATTATGTAATAACACCTCCTTTTGTAATAATTTGCCCATTATGTAGTAAACAAGTTCAATGCAAATATGTAATACATGTCGCCACATTTTCAAATATATTATTACATATTGCTGTGGTTATTACAAAATGAGTTGCAAACAATAACATTACAACTGTTTATTTATTTATTCAACCATGAATCATCCTTACTCATAATTTAAAAATATTTCAGTAGAATATCTTTCATTGGCCAAAACTAGATCAAGTGTTACCATATTCATTAGCCAACATGTATATCAACATCAATTTTGGGATATATTTACAGTTTGGTTATGGTTACATAATGAATATTACAGTTTTTTAAAAGGGCAACTCACGCATTTTGTAATAACCATTGCAAAATGTAATAATTTATTACAAAATGCAGGGACATTTATTTTATATTGCGTTCAGGCTGTTACAGAATGCAGCAGATTATTACAAAATGTGGGTTTTATTACATAATTACATAAAAATGTTCTTGAGTCATTACATAATGTGTTGTTTATAGGCCTTTTCTTTTATTCTTTCCTTGTCCTTCTTTTAATGAGTATTTTGATAACTGTTACACATTGATAGAAAAAAACAAATTAAGCTTCTCATTATTCAGACTCAGCTCTCAGCGCTTAAGCTTCTTTTAAATGTTGATAAAACCAAGGTAATGCTCTTTTCAAAAACTAAAAAAGACACCAGAGCCTGTTTTAGATATTGTAATTACACAAGGAATAAAACTTGAAGTGGTTGCCTGTTACAAATACCTTGGTATCTGGCTTGATGATTGTCTCACTTTTAAACTTCATGTCAATAACCTGCTTAAAAAACTGAGGGTTAGGCTAGGTTTCTTTTCCAGGAACAAGTCCTGTTTCTCACTTGAGGCCAGAAAAAGGCTAGTCACTGTGACCTTTTTACCTGTACTGGACTATGGTGATCTGATCTATATGAATGCACCTGCCAATTGCCTGGTCAAGTTAGATGCCACCTATCACAGTGCACTGAGATTTGTGACAAACTGTAAAGTATTAACCCATCACTGTACCCTGTATGCAAGGGCAGGTTTGCCTTCACTAACTGTACGGAGGCTCAGTCACTGGTACATTTTTATATACAAAGCCATGTTAGGGAAACTTCCATCCTACATCTGCTCCCTGATCTCACGGCGAATTGTAAGTGGCTACTGCCTGAGATCGAATGTTGTGATTTTATTAAATGTGCCAACTGCTAGGACTGTCTTAGGGGAGATAGCATTTAGATGCGCAGCTCCGCTAACTTGGAACAGTCTGAGCAATTTGGTTCCACTAAATGTTTTTAAAGCAAGGATAGATATTATCCAATCGGAAACTGTTGGAACCTGTAAATGTTACTAGCTATGTAAACTGTAGTCACTGTAAATATGCTGTATGATGTCCTTTTTTGTTTTTCTGTTATGTTTATATGTATTCATGTGGAACCTACTTGCAGCAGGTCACCCTTGAAAAAGAGATCAATGATCTCAATGGGATTCACCTGCATAAATAAAGGTTTGAAATGAAATGAAAGATTTTTTTTATCAGAACATGCATTTCTCCTCATTGTGAACATATATTGCACTCATGTTCAGAATATATGGTACGTACATGGTCTTTTATAAATCTGAATATATATAGTGCATACATGTCCCCATATAATTGTGAATATATAGCGCATACATGTCCCCATATAATTGTGAATATATATAGTACATGTCCCCATATAATTGTGAATATATTCTACATACATGTCCCCATATAAATCTGAATATATAGCGCATACATGTCCCCATATATTTGTGAATATATATAGTACATGTCCCCATATAAATCTGAATATATATAGTACATACATGTCCCCATATATTTGTGAATATATATAGTACATGTCCCCATATAATTGTGAATATATTCTACATACATGTTCCCATATAAAACTGAATATATAGTACATACATTTCCCCATATATTTGTGAATATATATAGTACATATCCCCATATAAATGTTAATATATAGTAAATGTATGTTCACATATATACACAACCAATATATTATATATATTTACATATATTACTCAATATATGGAAAGCGGCAATTACTGATGTATTATCACATATATTACAATATATTATCACAATATATTATTCAATATATCAATATATTGACACAATATATTATTCTATATATCTTCAATATATTTTCAATATATTTTGTAGATATGAATAAATATGTTTTTCATGTTGATTATTAATCAGTATCACTTGGTGTAGCCAACAGCAAGATTTCCTTTATTAAATCTTTTCAATTAACCAGTAAATCAGAAAACAAAATAATGCAATATATTGACAGTTAATATATGGGGAAATATATTTTCTTTGCGTAAGGGTAGTTCTAGCTGGATGGAGCTTATAAGCATTATTTGTTGAGAGAGGCCCTAAAACGCTTTTTGGGGTTTACCCTTTTCTGCAGAGTGTGTTTTATAGGTTTTAGAGCATGTTAATGGTCTGCAAAGGCTAAAATGCCTCCAGAGGGAGACCCCCCCCCCCACCCCTGTCAAAAGCCTTTGTTTACTTTCATAACATAGTGAAATCACTATGTAACACTGTATTGGCTAGTGCTACAATACATTGTACGTTATAGGCTAAGGGGCAGGATGAAATCTCTAAGCGGTTGACCAATCACAACAGAGCCAGCCAGCTAACCAATGAGAGCAGACTGGGCTCTGGTTTCAGACAGAGGGTGAAAAGAGGTGCTGCAGCACAGGCAGTATGGGAAAAATAAAGAGCTTTTTGAACATTAAAGCATGGAGACATGTCCCAGTAGAGACACTAAAGACTTATATGAACCTGAGAATAAGAATAAAATGTCCTCTTAAAGTACAATAACTCAAGTAAATGTACTTACTTTACCTGAGTGTTTCCATGTTATGCTATTTAAACTTTCACTCAAATACTTTTTGAAAGCAAATATTGTACTTTTAGTCCTCATACTTTTATTTGACAACATTAGTCACTAGTTTTCTTTTCAGGTTTACATTATTAAGACGACATAAACTAAATATGAAGCAATATTATGGATGAAAATACTCTGCAATGTAAAAAGTTTAAAGTAGATTATACCTACTTATAATCCAGTGATATCATTTATATTATTCTGGAATGCCGACACATAGTTATTACTTCTGGTACTTAAGTGGGTTTTGATCCTATTAATTTGAACTCTTTCTTGAATCAAATGTTGACTACAGGAATACTTGTAACAGTATTAATACACTGTGGTATTTTTACTCAAGTAAAAGTTCTGAGTACATCTTCCACCTCTGGTTCCAGCAGTTAGAATTGAACATAATGTTTGTGCCACTGATGAATATCCTGTTACACACGTAAGGAACACAGAGTAGATCATCAGAGACTGCGTGTTAAATCATCTGATAGAGGCTGCAGATGAGATTGAGTGTGAATCACTGTGGAGTACATGGAGGTGAGGGAGGAACCAGCTGTGACCCGCCCCCCCCGCCTGCTGCTATAACTGAAGGTCTCCTGCAGTCAGTCCACACAGACAGTATGCACTCCTCAAGCTTCTCCTCTCCCACAGCAAACACACTGAAGGTAAGACCCACTTCCACTCTGTTCCCTGAGCTGTGTTTGACAGGTTGTAGTGCCGTCTAGTAGTGTTGTTAGAAATGTGAGCAGTGTGTTCCAGCTCTCTGCATACCGTTCCTAATGGAACCAGGAGATGTTCTGCAAATCCCTAAAAATGATCTGATTTGTATTGTAAATTAATTAGGTTTTGATAAGAGGGAATATAGCATTACATTACAATTAATTTAGCTGTTATCAAAAGCAATTAATAAGTTCATTAAACCATAAAGTGCATTGTAAGTGATGCTGTATTGGATTCAACTAAACCATCTTTTTGTTTTCACTGGCCAAGATGATTATGGAGGGAAGTCTTTATTGTTTTTCTTGTATTGTTTACTTCTAGAAAGTCAGAAAATGTAACTCTTCCATAAATCAAGGTATACAGGCAAAACAGTTTCCAACAATATACAAACGATGAATAAATATCTATGGGAATTAAACCGAACAGGTTCTTTGCCTTCATTTAGATTTTCAGATCTTGGTTTTTGATTTGTATTGTGTGTAAATGCTTATGTAAAGCACTATGAGTTGCCTTTGTGTATGAAATGTGCATTATGAATTTAGCAACGTTAAACCATTGCCTGCAAATCCAAAAATGCTGATTAACACAAAGAAAAGTCTCAGAATTGTGCTTTTATTGTTGCCCTACGAAGGGGCATTCCCATCAAATGTGTTAGGAAATAATCAGAAATTAATGCAGCCGTAAAGTAAAGCATTTCTTCATCTCTTCGTAAACTTTTTGGACAGTTTATCTGACTAAACGGGTCATTCAAAAACATTGTTTACAAAACATTGTAAGGACTTCAGCTTTTGGACAAAATGAATCCAGGTCTGGCACACCTGTCTCCATATGCTGAGGGGGGTGGGGGATATATTATATAGATCTATTATAAAAGCATCAGTAGAAAATATAAATATCTGGAAAATTAATTGGCAGTTTCAAATTCTGCGTAACGATACAGAGGACATGTTCCTGACTGAGACATCTGCATACTGAACAAAATATGATAATATTTTGGCCACAATAAGTTAGTCATACATTTTACTTGTGCATTACGCATTATCTTCCATCTCCTTTGGGGTGCAGGAAAGCATTTAGAAGTTATTATTATCAAATGTATAGTTAAAAGTGTGTTTGCCTACATGCATTAATCCGTCAATCAAGCTGCAAAGGCATGTGTGCTGGCTTTCCCTTCAACCCCCCCGGTCACCAGGACATGAATCTTAATGTTGTGTTATAGGCTTTGTGTGTAGGTGTTTAAAGGTGTTCCTCCTCCTCCTCCTCCTCCTCCTCCTCCTCCTCCTCCTCCTCCTCCTCAGGTGTTGTGTGTCCGGATGTGTATCTGTCTGGCAGGCTGGCCCCTGGCCTCAGAGGCAGGCCGACTGCGCTGTGGCTCTGATCTGCTCACGGACCTAATGTTTGTCTGCGGGGATCGTGGAATCTATTTAGGTACGTTTATATTCATGTAATATACCTGTTTCACATAATGACTCATGTCTTTAGTATAGAATGTTCCATAATACATGTCTAAACTGTGTTATTGTGGCATGAAAGGTCAGGAGGTCACCAAAATGATTAGGATTATTCCTCTGCAAACTGGTTGTTAACAGATAATGTTTTGCATGGTCCAAAATTGATCTCTAACCTTAAACTGATGTTAGGGACCCTCTATAAAGTGCATGCATAGGAACCAAAAATAATCTCAGATTTTTATTTTAGCTATGAATACCATACCAACTTTTTGTTGTCTTTCCCTCTTTCCATTGCATTCACAAAACAAGCAATAATGCATCATGGTCCAATAAGCAATGTCGCTGTTATTGTGTTCACACTGCAACCACATGGAGGGAAATACATTACAAACATAAGCTCTACATTTAACTATACATTTGATGTTGACATAACACAAATACAGTTTGCTTATATTTTTTCTTCCCTAGATTTTAATAGAGATACAAAAAGATATTAGGACCAAAATGCTGTGAAGGTTATTCTAACACAGATAAGGCCATGGTCATCAGTCCATGTGAAAACACTGCAAGTTATCAGCTAAACAACAATAAAAAACACACCCTGCATAATGATAGTCACAACACTGCTCCTCCGTGCTGCAGGCTGTAGCTGCAAACAGGACACACTTTTTATGCAATTTCATATTTAATGTTGGATCTATTTCTTGGGCCAAGTCTGATTGCATTGTTCTGTACATAAGTGTTTCATGTAGGCCACACCACAGTGGACCTTTTACCGTGAAGCAGCTTTTATTTCAAATAAAATGTATTATTATTACTAGAATAAAATCTCTCCCATTGGACACAGATAAATACCCACAGGCCCTTTCACCTGATTACCTTTATCCCAATTCTGACCAAGGCCAACTTCTTCCTCCTGCTATCAGAGGGGTGGCAATCCACCAAAATGGCTCACACAGAACACCGTGCCTCGGTGTGATAGCTACATTGTTAAACACTTGCTATCTGAGAGCTGCACCGCAGACAGGAGGAGCAGAGCGCCTCTCAAACACACCTCTGTACCGTGTATGCTAGCATTTGCTACTTACCCAGGATAAGTCATGTTCTGCAGAAATGTGGTACTAAACCAAAGTAGACATGAGCCCCAATGCATTTTAAACTTTATTGCTACCATATTGACAACATGCTCTCCTGGACCAAGACGATGTAGTTACTTCAAATTCAAAGTAAGTGGGGGCACCTCTTTTCACCCTCTGTCTGAAACCAGAGCCCAGTCTGCTCTGATTGGTTAGCTGGACAGCTCTCCCACTGGAGGGAAACTTTGATATCTTATACAACACACTACAGGAGAGAGAAAACACCAAAGCAGTGTCCGCTTTTGGGGTATTTGCTATGCGCACCGCCGTATAAATAGAACTTTCTTAGATCGTTTTGGATAAGATTTCAATACCAGTCAAAACCTTAAAGTCGAATACCAATTTCCAGACCTAGTAATTACTATTGCTAGAGAGGATAGACTTTGGTAAGCATGCCAAAGGATACAAGGTTTCATGAATGGTTTAAATTAAATGACCTAAGTAGGAAGGCTTTAAAGAAAGACAAGAATCTCACGGTGAACGTTTCTCTCTCTGCAGGTAGAGGGTCATGGTCCGGTTACGGAGGTCGGCCCAGAAGGAAGGGGATCGTGGAGCAGTGCTGCCGCTCGCCTGGCTGTGGACTCCAGTATCTGGAGACGTACTGCAACAAACCAAAGGGCCAGCAGCCCACCACAGCTCCCCCTGCCACCACCACAGCCCCCCCTGCCACTAGCACAGCCCCCCCTACCACCACCACAGAACCCTCGACCACCACACAGACGGACATGGTACGATCTCTATTGCTAAGGCTGTATGAAATAGTTTGTAAAGGTCACATAGCTTTTCAAACACATCTCATGGTCCTCAGCAGAGTCTGAGATCTTGTGGTTGGCGAGGTTGTTACCCTTGTCTTGACAAATGGTCTTTGGTAGTGGGGAGTCAGTGCTTGTGTGCAGAAAGATCTAGTCCTAGGATTTAGTGTTCTTCATGGGTTCCTCATGGGTTCCAATTCTTAGACATGGAAGTCCTAGCCAAATCCGAAACAAAGGAATACCAAATCTGAAAGAAGACCAGGGGATAACTGATCTAAGAGAGACACAGCAATCAAAGGGGGCATTCCAACCTGTTTAGGGTTAAGAATATTTTGTCCAGCTCTTCTGCTTTCTGAAAAATGTTGTCTCCGATTTCCACAAGGCAACAACCGTATTCATTTATACCCTGGTGTTATAAAGTTGTGTAACACAAAGGTGGAAATAAATCAAGATGTTACTTCAATTCCAAAAACAAAAATCCATTATAATAATTTCAGTATTTGTGGTAAATAACTAACAGCCCCACACAGGCCGAGTTTACTCACTACAGCCGATCTGTCCTCAAATCAATTCCTCATTCTTATCTTTGTTCTGCAGGCTCAGCAGTTCCAGGCAGTGTTTCAGAGGAGACTCTCTGAGCACCTGGGGGCCCCCAACAGTGCAACAAAGAAGAAAACACCGCCCCCTCCTCGACGGAAAAGCAAAGGTTTATCTTCACGCAGGAGGAAGAAAACAAGGAGCACAACCAGCAGGCCTTCGTCGACCTCCAGGAGCCCGCCCCAAAGAACCACAGCGCTAAAGTAATGACCTCAGAAGAAGTTACTGGTACTGGTACGCTACCTGATGCTCTACTTTAAGTAGTTCTCTACTAAGTAGGGGTGGTTGATAATCACTAACAGAGACTTCAGGGGGGCACAGATGGGAGGTCCTCAGCTCCAGGGGAGACACTCAGAGAGTCCTGACTCCAGCTCTGGGCCAGCTGCTGTCACACTGCCACGTCTGGAATAGCTCCCCTCTGAAAGCGGCTTACTTGCCTCAATCTATTAAGATTAAGACTACCTTTAATCATTCAGTTCACGCTGGTGTTATTATACAATTACAAACCAAGGCCCGAAAATACACACCAGCTCATGGAGGTGTCAGAGCGAAGGGGCTGCCACTGTTCCAGCGCCCGGGAGCAGTTGGGGGTTCGGTGCCTTGCTCTAGGACACCTCAGCAGTGCCCAGGAGGCTGACTGGTACCTCTCCAGCTACCAGTCCACACCATTTTTATGTGTTGGTCCATACCGAGATTCGGTTCCCAAGCAAAGATCTCCATCCATATTTTCTTTTGGTCCGATCGGGAGTGAACTTATGACCCTTTGGTCCCCAAGCCAAATCTCTCCAAACTGAACTTTGATCCCCAAGTTTAGTCTGTGTTAACCCATGATGGACTAATGGGAAATGGTGTTTGTTAAAGGCTGCTAACTATTACAGAGACAACATCACTTCTCTACTGCAAAGACTTAGTAACTGTCCTATGACCTGAACCTTTTATTTTTAGGCGTACTCATTATCGATACAGTGATAAATATATTTAGCAATTATGATGCTATATGAATGATTTAGAATTTGGAGTGTGTTTTGTGTCCACTTTCAAACTCTTCCTGATGGAAATATATCTTTCTCATTATCCACTGTGTGTGAGTGTGTGTGTGTGTGTGTGTGTGTGTGTGTGTGTGTGTGTGTGTGTGTGTGTGTGTGTGTATGTGTGTGTGTGTGTGTATATTTGAATACTTTTATAGCACTTGTTGTGAAACAACAGAATTACTGTATCTTCACCGTGTGTCTTCGATGCAGACTCAGTTTTTCTGATTTGCATATTATTTTCTGTCTGAAACATAATATGTTATAATGTGTTTTGAATTTTTGTGTTTTCTGTAAAATACTTTTTAACGCATTCATTATTTATTTCACTACCACAACATAAGAGTATAATAAATGTAAAATCATATAAATCCTTTGTGGTGTTATCACTCAATTTGAAATGTTTTAATTTGCATGTTGAGTTCCATAAGCTTTATGACGATACATCTCCGATCAACCTTTTGTTTTGACGTTGAGCAGCGATCACAAACAGCTGACTCATTACATTTGATAAGTTATTATCCCTTTCTGAAACCTTTGATTGAGTTGTGAAGGCCGTCTGATTACACAAAGGCTCCTCTACGCGGAGAGTATCATTATTCTGTGACAAAGTCTCAGTTTTTATTCTAAAGTAAAGTAGTGTGCTTTCGAGGAAATTGTCACGTTTATTAATGAGCAAATGCGCTACCTGGATGTCTTCACCTACCTTACTCACTTGGAGACTTATCTTGCTTCTCTTTATATAGATCAACAATGCGTTTGAAAAGTGAATAAGACACCTTCACTCACCTTTGTAAGCGTTTCACCCATAAGTCTGTACAGCAGATATATATTGTATAACAGGCACAGAGGATGTTAGAGGGTGAGGGGCCAAGTTCAAGTGCATTTTTGTTGCTAATTTAATAAATATATGGCTGGAATGAAGATTGTGACAGCGGTAAAGGGTTATTCAAATGTATGTATTAAAAACAAACCCAATATGGAGGATGGTTCAAACACGTTACATGATGCTACTGAGAAAGAATAAGAGAGAAAGAACTTACGAGCTAAAGACAAATAATAATGTGAATTGATTACATTTGATACCTTTCTGAGCGCTTCACAGTATTAGGGGGAGCTTCTCCATGGACAATAATAAAACTGCTGTGGTTCTTTTCAGTTCAGTGGATGAGACACAAGAGCTCGACCATATTCCACTGTTCCCAACATTACTAGCTAATGGTATCAATGCTAACGAAAGCTAGCTGGCACATCTTTAGCTGCTAAATACGTTGGCTTGGTTCTACGGGGGCGCATAAGCAACCAATAGAATTATATGAACCCTCTATTGAAAAAAGAGAAGGGAGTGAAAATTATGATAAATATAATAACAATAATAATATAATTGAAAACAAAACAAATTGTAATTGTACTTAAATAACATTGTCTGCTGCATTTATTTTGTCCACTAAAATGTATTGATTTGTAATAAAAATAAATTCGAAAAACAGGAGGGGAAAAAACCAGGTGCTGAAGCCCCCTTGGGGTCTATCTGTGAATGTGCCGGTTGGAGAACATAGCTGTCAATGCCTTTAAATAAAGGTTACAATCCGAGAAACTGCTTGATTATCTTGGATATCTCTGCTTCCACTGTCAGAGAAGTTTCAAACCTTCACCAGTGGGGTTCATTACTGACCGTCGTAAAATAAAACCTGAAACATCTCTTCAGCTTGTGTTAACAACAGATCTTTTTACTACAAGAATGTTCAAAACACTGTTTACTTTGAGACAGAGAGGAGGGGAACTGGTAGAATAGGCGCTTTCACACCGGAGTACTTTTCCCAGGAATAGTTCCGATAGTTCCTTCCTGGGATTTTGCGTTCACACCAAAAAGATCTGGAACTAGAACTTAGTTCTCGGGAACCGTTTCACCCCTTTTCAGTCCCTGCTAGAGAGGTGGTACTTTCCTGGGGAGGAAAAGGTTCCAATTTCTGATTGGCTGGGCAAATTGCAGACCACGCCCCGTAAAACTCCGAAATGTTTTGTGATGCCGCCATTTTATTTGCTCGCATTAGCATTATTAGCATTAGCCCACCAACGGAGAGAGACTAACTTATGGCAACACAAAATAAAACGTGGGAGCGGTGGAGTGATGAGGAGGTGTCGGAGCTTCTGGCGATTGACCCGGGACTTCGGGTGGCGATTTACTGCCACCCGAAGTCCCGGAGTCCGGGGGGCTCCGGGACTTCGGGTGGCAGTATACGCCGTGAAGTTGTTTGTGGCCTGCCAGTAAACCCAAAGCAGAAGAAGAAGAAGTGACGTCAGCGGCTTCATTTGCGTAATCCTCCTTCAGGGACTTATTCCGGCGGGAACGCGATCTACTAGATAGTTCAGGAATTAAAGAGTTCCGGGGAACTAAGTTCCGAGAACTATTCCTGGGAACAGTACTTGGTGTGAAAGCACCTAATGCTTATGGTAGAAGTTATTTACTGGTTTTAGGACCTATTCCTGCAACGCCCTATGTCCTCTTGCATTCCTTGGGTGTCACCATCTGGGTGTTTTTCTGTTTTATTTTGAAAAGTGTTCACCCCCCTGAGTTATGTCTGTTGTTACTTCCTGTCTTTGTGTTTCCCTCCTGTTTGATTACCTGATTGTGTTCATCTGGTGCCCCTGTGTTTCTCTTCCCTCCCCAGCTGTGTCTTGTTCTTGTGATTAGTCTTGCATGTTCTGGTTTTTAATGTTTAATGTTCTTTTTTGCATTGCTTGCCTTGCCCAGCTGTTTATACCTGGAACAGTAATATAATATAATAAAGGACTTTTCTTTAAAGTTTTCTCAATATCAAGCCACGATTATTGTTTTTATTTTAAATTCTATAATGTTGGACTTTTTTTGCCCTCCGCGAGGAAAAGAAATGGGGCTCAGAGCCTCAGAATACTGAAATCTATATTTTTTAAATCTTTTTTTCCTTCTAATTTGTTATTCTTTTCTAAATAACACACTGTTATTTGCTCAACAATAACACACAATTATCCTTGTTTTTATTTATTTGTTTAATTCTATGATCTCGGGCCTCAGCTATGGTTGAAGCTCGGTGATTGGATGTTTTAGCTGCAATGCACGTTGGGATATGGTGTTTATGCGATATGAAATCCGAAAACATAAAAAAAATAAAAAAATAATACTTTAATCCGAGTGTACTTGTTTTTCTCTTTGGAAGTCATCACATAACGGCATTGTAATACACGGTTCGGCTGCATTAAATATTACACATCTGCCGTAGTTCTTTATTTATAGAGCCCTGATTAGAAGACTTCTGGACAAACTGGAAGAACTGCCACGGAATCTGAATGACGTGACGTGGATCATAAATATATCAGCAACCACCTAGTGGTTAAAGCACGTTATTGAATTTTTTTTGTTGAATAGTTATATTTGTATAGGGGGAAAGTAGAAGGTCAATGATAGAAATATAGAATATAAAAAATCAAGAAGATACTGTAAGTGATCTCTACAATCAAACAGTTTAGTGCCGGGTGTACAAAGATATTAATAGGAGGATGTGCAAAACAGAAAAACTAATTAACCTTTATTTAAAGGGGACCTATCATGCAAAATGCACTTTTGTACGTCTTTTATACATGAATATGTGTCCCCGGTGTTCCAGGGAACTCACCAAGTGTCAGAAAACACAACCCTCTCTATTTTCCTCCATACCCAAATCTCTAAAAAAGGGGCTGCAACGGATCTGATAAAAACTGATCCAGATTTGAACACTGTTCTGACGTCAGGACAGTGGCGCTACGGCTATTGGGCCAACTCCACCAATCAGGAGGAGACAGCCACGGCCATTGCCGTTCGAAAGCACTGGAGACGCTGTAGTACATATGCTAGGCCTGTAGATGGTGCTGTTCTCACTGAATCTGCCCTTGCAAAAACAGAGCTAAAAAATGTCAAATTGAGCAAAATGAGGCATGGCTAAAATGCATGATCTGTTTGGTATTTTGAAAAAAAAAAAGTATAAATATGCCTTATATAGGTATGGTCCTACACTATATTATTCAAATATAGCATGATAGGTCCACTTTAAACATTGAAGAATACTTTAGGTTAAGGTCTTCTTTTAAATAAGAAAACAGCTTTGGGGGTATCTACAGATAAATATTAAGCCTGACAAAGTACTTAACGTCTAATATATTGCTTTTCTGCAATGTTAACTATGTTGAAGCACTTGTTTTAACCTGTTAAACCCCACGGACCCGCCGAAGGGTCCGAAAATGCTACATCTGCTAGCACCAGTGTGATCTCTGAAGTGTCATTTATGAAACTATTAATGTTCCACACCCAGCTGACGGGAAGAAACTCAGCTAACTGACTATACGAAAAAAATAAAATAATAATAATAATAATTCGCACAAGAAGCCTTTCAATGAGCCCTTAGCAAATACGGACTAATGCTAATTTCTGCTCATAACTCAAAAATGATCATTTATAATTCATACTTTCTGCACAAACAACACATCATGTGAAAGCTGAGATTCCACAGATTCCATGGGTATACACCCCATCACTGCAGGCAAGAATTCACTGAGCTAGCAGCCAGAACATAGCAAATAAACAACATCAGTTTTCAAATCCATGACAATAATTAGCAGGTTAAATTTTACAATAATTTTTTTTTTTTATGGAATGATTAACTATAGTGATGATTCAATGTTATAAAATGATTTTTACAGTCTGGTACCTGAAAAAGGTCAAATGGCACTGATGGAACCAGATGTGCCCAAATGTGCCCAAAGCTTAGTCCGCCTGGACTTTTTTTCCCTAAATATCTCTAAAAAGGTTAATTTCCACTTGTTTTGCCTCAATCTTGATACAGGGTACTTATTATATGTTATACTTTGGATTCCTAAAGCTTTTAGGCTACTAAACCATCATTCAAGGGTGGTTTTCACTATAAGTAATGGTTTTATTTTAGGCGGAGGTAAGAATTTACACTTTTTTACTATGTTCCATCTGAATTCACTCTGACACAGAAACATCGATATTGATTCTGACACTTCTACATCCATCTCACACATGTAACCTTGCTTTGAGA